CGTATTTTCTTTAAAAGCTTTTGAGATTTTCAAGTAGATCTTATCAAACGTATCTATTATCTACATGCTGTTTCCTCTTTCTAAGAATTTCGTTGGTTTTTTTGTTTTAAGGCAGAACATCCCTTAGAAAAGCCCAGTTGACATCTTTCCATGCATCTCCCAACTGTATTCCTTATTATAGTTTCTACCTGTTTGACTGGTAGAGATGTCAAGCCTACTGGTACTTCGTTCTGCAGACATATCCTAGCAATTTACTTAATGTCAAATTTGTCCTCTAGTTCTCTGATACCAAAACAGTGCTAAGTGAGACGTTATACACACTACTGCGTCTATTTCACTGAGTTCCTTCCACATTTATTACATATTAATTGTTGCCAATGAGATACTGCCTAACAAAGTATAAAAATAAAAATCTCATACAGTTTGGGAAAAAATCTAAGCACAAACAAATTGTGCTATTATTATTATAAACATACTGTTTGCACTGTTTTCAGTTTGAGATTTCAATTTTTAACCTCCCCTAAAAATACTGCTACAGTGTTTATACTGATGTTTGTACTCCTAAAAATATAACGGCATCTTTTATAAGATACTGTAAAAGACAAACTTGAAGTTAAGATACTACATGTGTGCCTGTACAAAGAAAAATGAACTACAAACATGTTAATTTAAACAAAAAGCACCTTATTAGATAGGATAGCTATTTTTCTGTATTACTTACCGAATAGTGTGCAGTTACAGATGTACAGTTATAGCTGTTAGGGACAATGTATGTTAGGCCATAACATAAAAAAAAAAGCTAACGATGCTACAGAAATACTGCAGGCTAGCAACTACTAGCATTTGCCACTAACTGTAAGGAGTATCATACGGAGGTGTAACAGAAATATTTTAGAATTCAGAATTAGAATGAATTAGAATTTCATTGTGCCAAGTCTTGACAGAACATTTACCAAAAAAGAAAGGAAAAAGGGAAGAAGGAAAAAAAAAAAGGTATAGGCAAAAGATAAAGCAGTTAACTAATTTATGTCTAGATCTTATTTCAGGATAGCTGCATAAGAAAATAACAAAAGTCAACAAATAGGACTTCTTTAATCCATTTACTCTTATTTAAGGCCATAAATATGAAAGGAAGAAAGAAATCAGACTTTGGATTCTAAGAAATGTGCTCCCAGAAGTTATGTTAAAAGAAGCTGAAACACACGGTCTGAAATGGAACATCAGATCTACACTACTGTTTACTTCTTATACTGTGCTGTCAGGCATAATTGATAGATCAATACAGACGCAAATCAGGAAAGGCTCACCTCATTTTGCCTTTTGAAGTTATGTCAACTCTCACGGGCTCAAATTTATGAGCAGGGGATATAACTTCCACTACGTAAGATCCTGAAGGTACATCATGAACCACAAAACTTCCATCTGTCCTGAAAAAACAGTAAGTTCCGCTACATTTCAATATGCTCCAGTACACAAGAGAGGGTGCTTTATTTTTTTTTAAAAGAAGAAACTGTAATAGTATCTTTTTATATTATAAATCTTAATATAACAACAATGACCAAAAGGAAAATCTAAATTGCTCAGCACTCGCAACATCAAGGTCATCAATGTGTACCACAAGAGTAGCAGAAATTACCAGTTACGTTAAAGGTTTTCTCATGCCCTCAAGCTATTGTCTTGCTGGAGGAATAAGTAAGATTTGAAACGGTTAGATTTCGTGTATTCAAATGATGGCAGAATTGGCATACACCTTCCTTCCTCCTTCTGAGATACAATACAATGAAGTTTACTTTGCTTCAGTACTTCTGCTGGAAGCAAAAAACCCAAAAATTGACATCCTACATAGTGTGGGTAGATATTGGAGATGACTTGCAAAGCACAAAAATTGGGGTTTGTGCCTTTATTGCGAAATAGAGGTTTTTACTTTTAATTGCTCCCTTTACGACTAGGCCACACTGGAAAGCTCTATCACAACAATAAGGGAACTAAGAGCTCTGAACAAATACACAGAAGGGATTTTTAGGCAGACTGCTTTTATTTTAAAATATGAAACAATATTTGGTGAAAATATTAGTAAGAGGATTCTTGAAAGCTTCAGCACCAGTTGCCATTAAATTAAAGTACAGAAGCTTGCATTTTTCCTCCTACATGCTTCCAGAAGTTTCCAGGAAAAAAAATTTAGTGATCTCTACCCTTTTAAAATGAATATAAAAGATCTCTCTCCTAAAAGTAAGACTCAAAGTTAAGACAAAAAAAGTTGCTCAAAGGGGGGAAAGAAGTAATAAAACCTGATACATTAGAAACTTGCATCAGGAAAACAAATACACGAACCCTCAAAAAGAATTTTGTCCTTATGTTCTTCACACAAGTTCTCTCTCTCAAAGACATACATCACTTAAGGACCTTCCCACCACAAAGACATAAGCATATAAACAGCACTGTGTAGGTGGGTTTCACTAATACTTTATGGGATGATTTGAACCTCTAAGAATGCTTACACTATCTCATACTGCAACTGCTATAAGGATGTTTCCCTAAAAATTTCCTTTTATTTTTTCATTCTTTACAGTATTATTTTGATAAAATTAAATTATAGTTTTTTTCCTAAAGATTTATTTATATGACAAAGCGAATTCTGACTTTATATACTGGTATCCAATACTGCCTTTTTAGAAGAAAACAAGTTTCATTTTTGTAACAGTGGGGAAACTAATCAGATTTATAAAAATGCTTGTACTAGAGAATGACTCTTGGAATACTCAAAAAGCAACTTTGCTATGTCATATAATTATTTTCCTCTTTTTGATAACTGGCATGTCATCCATGTAATATTTAATCAAAACCTGCCTGAGAGATGGTGAGAAATACATCTTCTGATATACCAAATACATTTATATCTGTCACTGAAAGTGAAGGATCTCTCTACTGAGCCTGAAATACCACTGTTATTTAAGAAATCTGTTCTTTCTTCTAACACACTTCTTACTAAAAGTATACTGCCATCCAGTACTGTGCTCATTACAAGTGACAAAAAAAATCCCAACCGACATTAAATCATTTTTGCTAAAATGTACCATGTTATGGTAGCGCAACATCTACAAATATGTTTATCAAACTACGTAACATATATAATATTAATTGCTTGGCTTTAAGTTATATCAATGTAATTTGATACGTCTACAAATAGACATGACAAATTAATGTAATCAATAGAGCTTGATATCTAGGTTACACTGTCATAAATATGGTATGCTCTTAGCTAAGGCTATTTCCTCGTATTTCGGACAACTCGAGTTCCAAGCAAGCATTTAGAAACGTACCAACTCCATGGTATTTATTAAATAAGCTCCTAAATATGATCTCAGGCTCCCACAACTTGGTTGTACTGGCTTATCAGGTGCTACACTGACAAGATTCTGCAAATGTTGCAGAGTAAAATCTGTTGTGTTAACCTTCCGACAGTTCCCAGAGTCAAAGTTCAGTTCAACTTTTACTGCAGAGGGAATAATTAAAAGCGATTGGAATTTATGAGATGATGTATTTTAATTCCATATAAACTTTCTCATTTTAATACATAATTTTAAAAGCAATGTATTATACTGTATTAAAAAGAATAAAAAGGATTTTAGAATTAGCTTCTACTCTTGAAACTATGAGATCAGTTCAATTCTTAATTCTGAGGGCACTTTCTATGCCTTAGTATCTCTAAACCCTTTGCTGGTCTGAATATACCCAGGACCACCCGAGACTGAACAAGCTAATGTGATTCTTTACAGCTTCCAAATGCATTTGCATGATCTTGTGTGAAGGAATAAAGCCATATCCCTTGAAACGGCTTTCACTGGTACAGTGAAACTGTTTTTCATAGGTAGTGTAATAGATAACTACAACTGTAACTTTCTGCCACAAACATTTCTCCAGAATGAGTAAATTCTTAGCTAAGGAGAGGGCCTTAAAAAAAGAAGTGGCAGGATTTGCACCCGCAAAAGCTGAGAACAAACACTGTACTCCAGAATTTAATGCAAACGTGTTTTTTTTTTAATTAAAACTCAGTTCCAATTTTGTGATCGCTAAAGAGCCAGCAGCCTTAGTCATCAATTTGGTCACGTCTGCCGGAGGCTGAGAACAACAATACCTACAGCACTGCAGGCTCCCACTACAGGCCTGGCCATTTCTAATGCCTTACAAGGTAAGGCGCAAGTGCACCAGTAAAGCCAAAGTCGGAAGCGAGACGTTCACCTCCACAGCTGTGCGCTGCTAACGGGGACAAGGCCGCTAACTTGCAGGGAGCTGCTCCGCTCTGCCACAGCTGGCCGCCATCTTACGGCCGCGACAGTAGAAGGGACGCTAAGCCCGTCAGAGGCGCCGAGG